TAATAGTATAATATGCGGTTTAAGTGGAACTTGTCGCAAAAGTAATATATAAAAGTGAACAAATTATTTGTTTTAAAAAAATGTTCGTTTATACAAAAAGAATGACAATATATTTATTTTTTTTTCTCACCATTTTTTATTTATTAAACAAAACCAATTAAAGTTAGATGATTTGCAAAAATAAGGAAAGGAAACAATAACATTTTTTTTAAGTAAAGGCGCCTTTTTGGGTAGAGTTACTTTTTTTTCTCGAGGACTGATATCCACTTTAATAAATATTAATATTTGCTAAATTAATGACAAATTTCTATTAATTTGTCATCTTTTAAATATTATTTATATAAAAAAATAAGATAAGATAAAGATCGACTTATAGCTAATGATAAAACAATATTATATATTTGTGCATTTTTTAAGAATAAAGTTTTTATAATTAATTAATATAAAATAAAATTTTTAAATTTGCATTCCCCCCCCCCTTTTAATTATTCATGATTTTCTTCTAATGATTCTTTAAAATGTAGGGTTGATCTATTGCTGGCTTTTTTTGGTGTATGATGACTTGTGGTCATCACATTCACGATATTTAATTTTAAACGTTAAAGTTATCTATTTAATTTGACCCTTCGATCTTTTATTGACAAGTTTAATTTCGAAATTTAATATATTTTGAAAAATTTAAATAATCTACCAAATTTATTTATTTTTGTATTATATATTAAAATAAAAGAGGCTATGATTTAAATATGATTTGTATATAGGATTTTATAATACTTATAGTTTGCTGAATTTTATTATTCTGCTAAGAAAATATAAAAATTAATAAAAATAAAATATTCACTTTTTTGCCCATTTTCTATTTCCTAAATAAAACTAACTAACTATTACCTATTTTTATTTTAGAGTTATAAAGAAAGAATATTTACAATTTTATCTTATCTCCATTTTTAAATTTCTTGTCCCCATTTATTTTATTTTTTTTAAAAAAAAATACAGAAAATATTAATTATTATTTTGTGTTACAAAATCAAATCATACCTATATCTATTTTTTCTTTCTTTCTATTTTTAAAATATTAATAATAGCAGAGCACATCTATGAAAATACGTTAAGAGGCTTAAAAGATTAAACTAAATATCTAATGTATTTCAAATTTTAAAATATTTTTGATATTATATAAAATATATATAAATTATATAAAAAAAATAATTAATTATTTTATAGAATTACTATTTTAGTCTTTTATCAGAAAGAAATAATTTTATGTGATTTTAATTTAGTATAATAAATTTGAGTAATTTATAAGAGAAGTAAAAAGGAAAACCATGAAAATTAGCCTGTGTTTGTCGGAATGACGAGCCCTTTAAAGAAAGGTGAAACCATTTCATAGAGATTTAACATCTCTGTTGATAAATCGAAGAGATGAGTGATTTAATAAAACATATTGCAAAAAAATATGCCAGAGGCTCCTATATACTCTTCTCCCCCCCCCCCTCACACTGAAGCAAAATAGACCCCAGAAAAAAGAAATATTTGTAAAAAATTCTTACCCAGCAACTCCCCTTAATTAATACATACTCAAAAATATTATAAAATATAAAGCGTTATAGCACAAAAATAAAGTTTTTCATTTTAAAAAAATTAAGGTTTATTGCAATTGATAAAATATGTAATTTTAATAAAAATTAATTAAAAACGATGTGATTTCTATGATTGGGGCTAAGTGAAACTAAATTTGTAAGAAAATAAATTAGTTCTCTTTAACAAATAATTAAATTGATAATTTCGATAAATTAAGGAAAGAAAATGCAAACTATTTATAACATCTTCAACAGACAAAATTGTTAATTTTATTATTTTTAAAAGAAGCTCTTTAATAGAGTTTCGTAGTTTAGATTTAATTAATTTTATTTAACTCATCCCTCATTCGGCAGTGTGCGAAGTTGTGAAATTGTTAACAATTATAATTTAAGGAATATTTTTTCAGGTCTGAGGGAATAATAATCATCATTTTGTTTTTTGTATTATTTTAAAAATTTAGATAAAATAAATTAACAATTCTCTGAGTCTGAAAAGTCATGATGGATATCTGAATTTATAACACCGCTCCTGTGTTTCTACATTTTAAAATTTGTTTTATAAAAGTTTTGACTGTTACTAGATCAAAATTTGTTTCTATATCATGAAATAAAACTTTCATTTTTTTTTCATGGATATGATTGATCCATATTTTATGTGGGGGCTGTGCTATGATTGATTACATATTATAAAGTATAATTTTATAAGGGAGACTAGGGTTATATCACCTTATAAAAATTTAAAAGGTTATAAAAGATGAAGCAATTTTCTAAATAATTAAACATAAATTAATATTAAATTTTTAAAAATCAAAATTTAAGAATTATGAGAAACACCCGGGCAAACTTCTAGACTTTCATGGTGCGTGTTATAGCTCCTTATTTATAAAAATGTTAAACATAAAATTGTTAAATATACCGGTTCATCCATATTATATATCATCTGATAGACAAGCTATCGTTAATATTGCTATTCATAAGATTGGGAAAAACTCGTGGTTTTTGATGTCCTCGAAATATATATGAATTTTTTCCTCAAAAATAAATGACTAATTAAATCAAAGATCTGTAGGCCCGGTCTGGCCCTAATCCCGGCCTAGGCACACGGGCTAGGCCCTATTTTAATTTTTAAAATATACCCGTGCCGGGTCTTTTTTTAAAAATACCTGGGCCGGGGCCTATATTTTACAACCGAATATTTTAAATCGCCATTATTAGCTATAAAAATTAAATATATTTTTAAAAAATACGGGTAGGGCCGAAAAAATGTTGAGAAAAAAATCGAGCCTAGCCTGAAAATATAACTTCGGGCCTGCCAAAAATTTATTTAAAAAAAGGGCCGGGCCGAAAATATTTTTTTAAAAAAATTCAGGTCAGGCCGTGTTATTGGTACCTCTACAGGTTTCTGACTTAAATAAAGGATCCCAGGCTTTCACTTAAAAGTTAATGATATTTAATTTGCATAAATATTGTCAATATTTTATATATAAAAAAAATTTAATATACCAGCAAACTCATCTTACCAACCCCCCCCCCCCCCCCATAGTTAAGTTACTGAGTGAGGATGGTCGAATAAAGTAACGTTATTAGTATGTACCTTACTTTTTTAGAAAAAGCGACAAATGTTAGAGTATCACCAAACTGAAAAAATTAACAATCTTATACTATCAGTATCTAATATCTATTTGTTTTTATATTGGGTGACTGGAGATATGAGACCGAAAATGTAATGCTCTTTTTTTTTATATTGAACAAAGTTGAAATTTGCTTATATTTTTATAATTTTCTTAACATAAAAATTAATAAATGATTTTACCATCTAAAAGCTATCACAAATAAAGGAATAAAAACTATATTTTAATAAAAAATATATTTTATTTGAACAAAAAGTGTTAAAATGCTTTAAAATAATATTTTTATGATATTGAGGGCTTGGAAAACTACTATTAAAAGGTTAAAATGAGCCTTTTTTACTCTTCAATTAAAAAATTTATAATGATGCTCAGAAATTATAATAGATATAATCTTTATATGAAAAAATGTTTAGTTCCCGCAACAGGTCAAGCATAAACTCATTGACCAGACTTGGCTCATGTATTCACCAAAAAAATAAAATTGCGATAAAGGTATAGCGATATATATTTTTAATTTAATCCAATTATAAACCTAAAAATAATATATAACTTTTAATTTTATTAAAGGGTGTCTTTAAGGGCTCACTATAACCGCGTTCTCCTCCATGTCTTACTTTCTATTTATTTTTTCCCCCTCCTTCTTCTAAAAATTCAGTTTGAAATGAAACACTTAAACCAACAATTATCTATAAAATTTTGAATTTTGTAAATAAGATAAGAATAGTCAAATAAAAAGGTGGTGACCTTTTTTTATAGACCTTAATTTAAAAAAAATTTAAGTGCATTTATTATTAAATTGGTTAAAGGTAAATATAGGGTAGAATATGGTCGATGATTTTTTCTTGAAATGTGGCTTTATTCTAAAATTCACAATCAAACTTCGAAAAAGTGTGTTTAATAATGAAATATATTTCCTTTTATGTTTCTTTTTTCTACTTATTAGGTAAGATTGATAATACCATTGTATAAGGTAAATGTAGAACGTTTTATTTTATACAAAATATTCCTTATTTTATTTTTATAAAGAATCATTATTTATCTTAAATCCACAATGTAAATAAGAAATTCTTTTAATAAAAAAATATTGTGTTTTAAAATGACATTTTATTTTTTATAAATATTTTTAAAAAAAATGTTTTTAAATTTTAAAAAGAAAGCAAGTTCCAGGACACTAAAATAAGAATCCTAAACAATTCATTGCAGATTGTCTAATTTGAGCACGTTAGAAATGTTCGGCGAATGCTTTTTATAAAAAATATATCGGAAATCTCAAACTGCATAACAATAAATTTGGTATACAATAACGGCGTCGTTAGTCGAATAGCTCTAAAAAAAGTTTATATAATCTAGGTAAAGTTTTTATGCATGTTCGTCTTAAATAATAAGAATTAAAAGATTCCATTGCCTATATAGTTATATATTATTTTCGATGGGTAACAAAAAGATCTGTATGCACGGCCCTAGAGCAGGTCAAATGCTATGATATTAAAAATAAGAAAATTACAAAACCGGCCAAAAAAAACATTTAGATTATATCTAACCACTTTGATTAATCACTTAATGTATCATTAAAGTTTATTCGATTTTCATATTTTCAACTTTTCCTTTGAAACCATATATAAAATATATTTATAAAATCCGTGAGCTTAAAAAAAACGGGTGCGAAATTTTACTCAAAATTAGGTTTACTTTTTATAAACAATAAATATACTCCCATTTTATATATTTCTAATTTGACAAACAAGTACAGGCAAAAAACAATACATATTTTTTATTGTTTCGATCGTTTCATAGGGGCTACAAATGATCCAAATCATAGTTTTTGAAAAGACGTATTAAATATACAGTTAATTGAAGAAAACTGCCGAAATTATTCATTTAAACATTTTTAAATCTTTTTTTTAAAAAAAGAAACGTTTTATGAGATTCCACTAGGAAAACGATTATAAAAAAATGTTGCGAAATACATTAAGGCGAAAACTTTTTTTAAAAAAAAACTAAAATTTTGTTTACAAAATCGCTTGTAATAATAAATAATCGGAAGAAAAATAACAATTTATTAATTAAATAATTTGTGGTAAAAATATGGACAATTTTAATAGCAAAAGATGATTCATAAACATTTTCATCATCCTTTTTTCCAAAAAAAGAAATTATAAATTTTCTAAAAAAAATAATACATATATAAGAGGAGGAAGCAATTTTTTAATATACTATTATATTATTTAAAAAAATTATTCATGATTTTTAATATTTAAATGGAAATAAAATTTTTAAAAAAATTCATTATTTATATTCAAAATAAAAATTATACATACATATATCCCCTACAATAAATTATGAGTCAAAATTGATATAAATAAATGTATATATAACATTGACATTTTTTGAAAAAAACAATTTTTTGGCGTGAGGAGGGGGGGAATAGAAACCACGTTTCTTGCATTGTGAACGTATGAATTAGTCAAATGGCTTATTAAACTATCTTCCCTCAAAAAAGCCTTCTATTCCTATTAACTAGTATACTCAATAGTAATAATTGGTTTTATGATTTTCTTTTATTGAACCACGCAATTTTTATCGTCTTCGGCCGAAAACTGGTAATCACCCTCTTGATTGATGGCATGAAATTCTGGGGGTAAAGTGGTGGATGTCCCAGGTTTCATGGATTTATTGGCCATCATATTCCAATAGTTTGCGTCCACAATTTCTTCTTGCTGCGGTATAAATGAATTGGAGCTTCTCAAAGGGCGTGGAAGAGAATTGTAAAAAACGTTTTTTGAAGCCTTGATAAAGGTACCGTAAGCGTCTAAGTGAGGTGGCGCCTGGTCAGATTTATTAATGAATGATATATTTTGTGAGAGTTTTGAATTGTAGTAATTATTGTAGCCACGAGAAGGCGAGGTGGATCGTGGCTTAGCGGAAAAGTCAGGTTTAAGCTGACCACTGGGTGGGCATCTGGTTTGGGCATCGGAAAGGCTATTTATAGATATAATACAAAAACATTATGAATGCATTTTTTTATAAATTAAAACCTTTGTTCGTGGATGTCTAAATTTTGTACCAGCATATCTCGTTGATTGACAACATTGACGAGTTCGGCTATTAGCAACTTCTCCCTCTCTAAATCTGGCTGAGTTTTTAAGGATTCTGATTTTTCCAAATGGTTATACATTCAAATAAAATTTTTAATTTAAACCCTAATTTAAAGAGGAGTTATATAATGGCCATTTTTTAAATCTATATAACAAAAAACTCCTCAATTATAAATGACTGCATCCTTAAATACAATCATAACAAAATTATGATCATTTAAATCTGTAGTTATAAAAATCCCTTGTAAAAATTATCTCCTTCTCTTTTTGAAAAAGATACATTCAAACCAGAGATATGCGTTCCCGGTACCAGTACCAGGCCCAGCCCGAAAAAATTTATTTAGACCGAGCCAGGCAGTAAAAGAGAGATGCCCTGCGCGCCTAATAGAGAATAGGAAAAAAAATTATCCCTAAAAGCTTAATTTTGTTAATAATATTTTTCATTTTCACTTATAATTTTAATCATTCATAAATAAGATTTTTTTCCCCTTACATTTTTATAAAAAGTACTTTAATAAAAAAAACATGAAATTGAAATCTAGTATTGTTAAATCCTTAACTTTGATCATCTACATTGCGGCTTACTCAAATTTTTGGCCTAATAAACCGAATTAAACCTCTAAATTGAGTACTTGAAGATTGAAATGAAAATTTTGGGATAAATACTTAGTTGCGTGGTTTTAGAGTTAGCTAAAGTTAGGCAATTCAAAAACTCTACAAAACATCATTACTGGTTATTTTTCCATGGGATATATTTCTGGATTTTAAAAAACAGGGCCGGGCAACCTTAGTAAAAAAAATAAATTGGAATGGGGCCGGATACAAATTTAACCGGGCCGAACGAAAACTAAATCTCAACCAAGCCTGATCTAAAAATTTTGCTATTTGCAGACCTCTAATCTAAGTTTGTAATAAAAGAATAAAAGGTATACGCATTTTTAACATTATATGTCCAGTGGACAGGCATGATTAAAATATGTTAATCAATTATTTTTATCATTTTTAATTAGATTGAACTTAATAAGAATTTAGGCATAAAATGGGAATTTTAAGTCAATTAAATTTAAAAAATTAATAAAAAAGGTGAGGAAATTTTCCTTCAAATGAGTAGGGCATTTAACTACAACAAAACATAAATTTCGATTAAATATAGTATAGATCTGCAGGGGCCTAAAAACAGGCTGGGCCAGGCCAGGCCTAATTTTTTTTAAAAAAAATTACAGGCAGGTCCGAATATTTTAAAGCCAAATCTTTTAGATTATTATTAACTATAAAAATTAAATAGAATATTTTTAAAAAAATCCGGGCCTGGCCTGAAAATAAAAAACCCAGCAGGGCCAGGCCGAAAATTTTTTTGAAAAAGAATTCGCCGTGCTTTGCAAATAAAATTTCTGCAGGTCTCTGATATATATAAATCGCAATTTTTTTTGCATATCTACAACTTAATATATTTCATTTTATATAACCTATATTTGAATTATTCATTTTTTTTTCATTTTTTTTAAGCGTGCAATTTTTTCAAAAATATAATATTTTATACATATTCTTGACTTGTTTTGTGCGCAAATAAATTATTAAAGGGTATAACGATGTATATGTATAATAGTTATTAATAGGTTATGGAAAATCATATTCATTATATTGTAAATATATATATATTCAAAGGTATATTTAAAACGAAAAATAGGACACAATATTTAAAGATATGCGCTGAAAAAAATCTATTATAAATACTAATAGGTATATATTTTCTTTAAAAAGATGCACAAACTTAGTGTAGTTAAAATAAATTAATATAATTATTATTGATCACGCGAAATAATCGGAGAGAGAAAAAAACACGCTTTTTATAAAGAATTTTTGCAAAAAAAAATGTAGAACAATATTTCAATAGCAAAGTAAGGTATTTTAACTTTTGGTATTCCAAACCATTTACGATAATTACACTAATTAATTAAAATAATATATCTCGGTTCCGGAAGCTAACCGAAATATAATTAAATTCGAATAGTTTCCAATTTAAAGCGGTAGAAAAATTATTTTCGAATTTCATTTGAATACCATTTATATAGAAACACCAACATTATTTTATGAATGAAGCCAAATATAAAAACCCTGGGATTGAACTAGAAAAATTTAAAAGCCCGGGCCCGGTAAATAAGTACATCTTTTTTGCAGCAGACATTTGATAAATTAACATAAAAAGCGAAGATATCTTTATATACACTCTAAACTATTTTAGGGGTCATTATCAGAAGCAGGGAGACTAAGGGAGGAGGCTGAAAAAAAATTGCACGTTATTTATTATATATCGTCGACTGACTATTATAGTGTTCTATTTCCATTTTTTTATAATAATTTTTTACGAGAGCATTTTAAAAAAAAATTCTTGTATTTTAGATAGGAGAAGATATCAGTTAGTCGGTCCGATTAGACAGGTCACGTGTCATATCAAATCATCAGTTGATATATCAGCCATAGATTTATGTAAAATTTTAGCTAAACACGTCGTCGACATCATATAACCCTTTATCAAACAAATATTAAATTTTATTAAACCATGTTTTTAATAGAGCGGGGTAAAACGATTGACCGGGTAACAATGTTAACGCGAATAACTTTTTAACCTTTGAGCGTAAAGGCCTTAGATTTGGTGCGAAGATGTATCTTTGTATCTAATTTTTTACCTATTTTTATTTTTTGAAAAACTTTCTTGGTGTGACAAATTTTGCCATTTTTTACCCAAAAATTATAAAAATCAACCTTTAGTATATATATATATATATTGCTCTGAAAAAATATTAGTACATTCCTTAATTGTATTGATGAGTTTATATCTAAAAGAGATGAATAGATTTCAAAATTGCAATATCAATAAAACAATAAAGTTATGTTCAATTTTATTTTGACCACTTTACCAGGATGCTTAGCCATTTTACCCTGGGTTGGGGATAAAATGATGAATAATAAATCATAGCTCCCATAGAAAGCTATACTTTTTCTTATTTTGTAGATGAAGGGGCCATATATAAATTTATAATTTGTTCTGTTTTGCTTTAAAATTTTATGGTAAAAATGCAAAATGCCAATCGCTTTACCCCGGTCTCCCTTACATATTAACTCTATAACCATATCTAGCCACCTTTTTAGCTATATCATAGCCTCGTAAGAAGTTGGTTCCAGAAAAAAAATTCAAGATTATTTCTATTTTATAAAATTACAAATAAAATTTATCCGGACAGCCCGTAATAATTTTGTAAAAAGAAAGGAGGAAATTATTGCCTAATTATTAGTTTTAAAAAATTTACGAAATTGCAACCCAAGGGCTTGGAGTCGGGCCGCGTTGACCTCTAAGTAAAATATGCAAGATTAAAAAAAGTATTACTGAAACAAAAAACATGCAAAATGACGTAATTTCACAAATGCCAAATATATAAAGACAAAGAGTATATAAAATATGCAAGTAAAAAATCTCGAAAAATGATAAAGGCAATAAAAACCTTAAAAAAAATGGTTGTGAAAATTTTTTAACAAAATAAATCCCGTTGCATTTTACCACATGATAAAAAATTTTTGCCCTTCCCTAGAAAGATTCCTGAGAGCGCCCTTGATGTGGAAAATCGATATAATATTAACATATTCTAAATATAAGTAAGGAGAAAAAATATATGAGGCATCGATATGTCATATTATTAGCCGATAACCAATATCACCCCCATACTAACACGGTATAAGCAGATACCAATCTGTCCCTGGTATCCGTTACAATTAAAGTATCGATCGATACCGATTTATGAAATACATATTATGTGTCATGCCTAAAATATTTTTTCATTGGGTAAAATGTTCTCATTTCTATTAAAAAATAGACTTTTTTAATATGAGTAAAGACCGAGCAGCACTAGATTAAATTTTTTTTTTCGAATATTCCTTTTATTACTACTATCAAATAAAATTAAAATTAACATATTAAATATAAAATAAAACATTATTTTATAAAAACGGAGGTGGGACTACAAGTTCCCAAAAAACATGAATATTTATATTTTAAAATAGTTATTTGAAGATCCTGTTTTAAAAAATAGTATTCTTTTGGTTCTGATATAAGGGCTCTTATCTTATCGCCTATATTTTTAGTATAAAGTTCCGCTTGGCAAGCAAGGAAGAGGTGTAAAAATATAATTTGTGAATTTGGAATATTTCATTGTTTTCTTTCTCTCGGCTATATCAACCGGAATAGAATTTAAATTTTATGGGAAAGAAGTTACGCATGTAAAGTCCCAAATTTCCCTAAAGACCAAGGCAAGGAAGTTAAGCCATCTGGTCTTAAGCCATCATTTAATGATAAATTTGTAGGCTCCAGGATATTTGGTATTCGAGCCCTGGTAAGAGAACGGCTAATAGCTATGCCTTATTAAATGTAATTTCAAAAAAAAAAGTATTTTTTTTCTTTTCAATAAAATCAAAAGAATACTAAAAATAATACGGTAATAAATTCTTCGTAACATGAAAAAATTGTCATAATCAAAATTTATATGATTGTGCTGGACAAACATTTTAAAAAGATATAATGTAACCCCTTAACAAAAAAAAATGTCAACGCGCCTCATCGAATAAAATAAAAATAATCTTTGCTAAACAAAAGAAAGAAAAAATAAAAAAAACCCGATAATTTAATAATTAACAATGCAGAAATAATAAAAAAATGTTCCTTTTGATATATGATCTAAGTTATTAAAAACTATTAGTATAGTTATTACTACAAAAAAAGTATAATTTTCCCAATTTCATATTTAAATATATTAATATATGTATTTTTTTTAAAAAAAACATAAAAAAATAAATTCGATTTAAAAGGAGAAGGATTTAATTATAATATTTTTTTAAAAAAGATTATGTTACAGAATCGAATCAAACACAAAAAAAATCTTCATTTAAGAAAGAATATATTTGAAAAGAAATCAAAATTACGAAAACTTTTATTAATATTATAAAGTGTATAAACTTACTATATTATTTTATTTATAAAAAAAAAATATGCGTATGAAATCTAAT